GGCCGTTGGGATCCTCGGTGATAACTTCAGGTCCAGTAGCTAGGGACCGGGGCAGGCAGCAGCGGTGGCCAAGCTAGGTGTGTGCACGTACTTGGCTGTGAAAGCCAGCTGCAGGTGTTGGTGTCATGGTCGGGGCTGGGGCCAGAGCCAGCAACAAGGGTTTGGGCCAACTGCAGGCCCAGAAGCATGCAGCTGGGGCACCCCGGCTGTTGGTGTGCACTTCTCTGGCTGCAGGATCGACCAGTGATTCGAGTCAGGCTGGTGGCCTGTGAGTGCACAGCTGGAGTGGCTAGGGGCAAGTGTGCGAGTGGCACTGGGGGTCAGCTATGGCATGGGGGCGGGTGGGGGGGAAGTTCGGTCTGGCATCTTGCACTCGTGGAGCTACAGATCCCGGGCTCTGGCAGGGGCACTGGGAGGGAGCAGAGAACTCAGGCATCTGGCACTGGGGCAAAGAATGAAATCTGCAGGGGGCCCACGTGGGTGAGCCGCAGGGGTGCAAGCCGCCGGGGTCCTCTGCAGAGCAGGTCACTGGCAACCGTGGCTGCTACCGACAGCCCTCGACCCTCTGCCTTGTTCTGAGCCGTCTCTAAAGTCTCAGCGTTGCCGGCCTCCGGGTGCGGTAAAGCTGAAGCGGGTCCTTTGTGTTGTGCCTCCAAAGCCTGGGGAGACCAGTCCTTCCCTCCACTCTCCCTTCCCGGGTGAGGAGAACTCTTCCTAGCTGGGGGGTCCTCACGGTGCTGAGCAGTGCCGGCCTAAGAGGATGGGAGAGTGCAGGCAAAACGAAGCTGATTCTTCTTCCCTTTTTTGGCGGTTATCCTCAGGTTTTTCTGTCCCATTGTGTTGACGTTCTTAAGTGGACTCCTGATCTCTCTTGGAGCTGATTTTGTGGATAGCTGTCTAATGCTGTCCAAGTGGATCTTTGTGGGGGGAGGCTGGGCTCTTCCACTTCACCAGCTTGGTAACGTCATGTGAAAAGGGCTCTAGGAGTTATGAAACTCCCTCCCAGACAGAAAGGGATTTAGCAGGATCATATGACCATCCTTCGGGGATTTTGCAAAAATGGATCTCGCAGTGCATAGACTGAACATCCGAGTACTTTAGAAAGTCCTGGGGACAGAACTGACTCATCATTTGTCCCTTCCACAAGCACTCCTATGTGCCGGGCCTGGGACACACTAAAGGCAGCCCTGTCCTCGGGAGGTCTCAGCCCAAGAAAGAAGACAAGTAAGGATAACATATAGAGAAACGTGATCAATATCAAAAGAAAGGTTAGGACAGAGAACGACAAGAGCCGAGTGTGTCTGCACATGCCCAGGGAGGGGAAGGGGCTTAGAGAAGGCTCCCAGCAGAGAGGTGCTACAGCGCCCCCTACAGGACAACCGGGCTGAGCCCGACAGACTTGCAGAGCCGGTGGGGGTGCAATGCAAGTGAGGAAAACACAGTCCATGCAAAGGCACAGAAGCAATGGGAAAGCAGGTGGCATTCGGAAAAACGTGAGTGTCACAGAAAAGCACCATTCTCCCCTGCAAACGGGCATAATACGTACTATGGGGTATGTGATGTACATTTATGGCCATGGAAACAATGACTTCTGGAAAAGGGAATAATGTGGGAGACTTACTCTGAATTACTCATATTACAAAAAACAAATTCTATGTAAAACGATTTGAGGGCCCCCCACCCAACATACAGACATCAGCATTTTACTTGATGCTGTGCTGGCCGTCCTGGTGCCCCTGCTGCAGGCACAGGGGTCCCCGGGGCCGTCCCGGCACTGCCAGCACAATTAGCCACATGCTCCGAAAATATGGTATGAAAGATGTGCATTTTGCTTTCTCAGTACCTGCCAGAAAACTTTATATAATTGCAAGATAAGAAAAAACATAACCATCTTGGCTTTGTATCAGTATCTTTTAAGAAGATCTCAATGGTATGGTGATTATATAAAATTAAAAAGAAATTCTTTTCAGAGATGCATACCGGACTAGTTTGGGGTGCAATGACAAATGCCTTGGATGTTTCCAAGTACTACAGCATTGAAAAGTGGGGCAAAGGTAGAGCAAAGACACGCACAGGTTCCCTGACCACACTATCGTCTTCTCACAGTAAGCCGTATTTTCTTGCCTGAGAGGGTGATGGCTGATACTGTCACAGGTCTTCCTCAATCTGCTGGATGTCCTCACAGAAATCCCTCTCAAAGTCTAAAAACAACTCCTTGAAGAATTTAATATAATTGGGAAGTAACCAAGCAACAACTGGGACAAACTCCGATTATATGTATATATGAACAGGTAGAATGATTAGGAAAGAGACTCACTTTACAACTGGCACATAAAAAAAAGATTAATAATTCACAGGTGTTTTAAGGTCCCTCTAAATCAGGATCATGACCTGAGCCAAAGGCAGATGCTTAACCGACTGAGTCACCCAGGTGCCCCAAGTTTCTAATTTTAACACCAGATTCTTCATCACTCTGAATAATACTGATCTGCTAGGAATCCATGTTCCTTAAGATTTCATAAGTCACAAAAAAATAGGTTTTTAATAAAACAGATTCATTCTAAACTGTGATGTTCTTATTTTCACTAAATGCTGGACTTGTAAAAGAACAATTTCAAGTTTAAATGGAGCTTAGAATATTTTTCTAGGAAGACCGAAAAAATATTTTACTAGAAATGTGAATTAAGAGTATCCTGAAAACCTAGTAAGTTGTGGGAAATGTATACATAACATTTATTAGACTATGATATAATAACATATATTTGGGTTTTGCCCCCGATTCCTGGCAAGGAGCTCCTAAAACCCTTGAAATTTCCTGTGATGGGGTGTGTTCTGTTAGTCACAAAACATCCCCTCTGGGCACGCTGGGGTTTATGCTCATGAGGTGCTTTAGGGTGGGGCCCCTTGAGCCTCATGATGGGACTGGTCACCAGAAAGACCAAATCATTAGAGGGGCTGGAACACGATTTGATGAGTCTCCAGGTTGGTGAACAAGAACACATCCTTGGCTAGGAGGATGGTGCACCCCAGACTCCAGGGGGACAGGGGCTCCTAGACTCGGGACCCTTCCAGCCTGGGCCCTATGTATCTTTGCATCTGGCTGTTTGTATCCTTTGCAATAAATGAGCATTCTAGCAAGTAAATGGTTTTTCTCAGTTCTGTGAGCCATTCTAGCAAATGAATCAAACCCAAGTAAGGGGTCCTGGGAATCTCAGATTTGAAGCTGGTCGGTCAGAAGCACAGGTAACCTGCTTGCTCCTGGCGCTGAAGTGTGCGTGTGCGTTGAGGGGCAGGGCAGACCACGCCCGGAACCTGTGGGATCTGAGTTATCTCCAGGTGGATGATAATGGGAACGGAATTCGCCACCCCGCTAGGATCTCTGCAGAACCAGAGAATTGGTTGAGGGTGTTGGAAAACACTCCACTGACCAACACTGAATTATCTTCCTTCTTCCTTTCTCCCGAAGGCCTTTATTAAGAACCACCATGGTTTGGTTCTCCAGCAACTTTTATTGGTCAAAGGATGTGGAATTATATGCAGTACCTGTGGTTTAATGAATAGGCTCATTTATAAACCAACTTAACATCTTATTTTAAAAATTCTTGCTTTTGAATAAACCGATGTGGTAGAACAGACATGCTCCTATCCCATGCAAAAAGCTGTTCAAGAGTGAGCAGCCTGCAAAACTATCATAAATGAGACATTGAATCGAATGTTCTTCCAGCCAGGTCCCAGAAGTAGTTCAGTCTGAGAATTTGCTTCATATTCTGACTTTTCAAAATAAAATATCCATGGCATTAAAACAAGCAAAATTAAAATACCCCAAGCAGATACATACTGATATTTTTATCCAAGTCACTTTCCAGAGTCTGTGGTGCCACTGTGCTCTGTTGATTAAATCAAACAACAAAAGCAGTGGGCGGCTTCTAACTGAAAGGCAATGAGATCTACCAATCAGTCTGCAGCTAAAAGTCACAGTGAAAGAACATACAGAAGGTGAAGAATGCTTTTTAACCTTCTGGCCTTAAATAATACTGCATTTCAACTTTAAAGAAAAGTTCTATTATATGTTTTTTTGCATTGACATTTTAAAATATTAGAACAAGTCTTTGTGATACAATGTATATTATACTTCAATACACACCTTGGGTGAATGAAAAACATGTCAACTTGATAACTGTGGTAAGGCATTTAAGTATTCAGCGAAAGCGATACAGAAATTTCTTAATGAGTGGTATTCCTTTAATATGAACTTGGTTTAGTGGGTTTCCTTAAAATGAACACAAAACAATAAAAGACTTAAAAAAGAGGCTGTGACATCATACACTGAATCCCGGGAAAAGCACAGTAACAAACAACATTTTCCAGCAGGGAGACCAGATAGAGCAACCAGAAACAGGTGAGCAGCCTCAAATTACACCGTCCATCACATTTACGAAGAGCTGAAAGCAGAACCGATTTCCTAGTAAGTCTGGGTGAAGACAACAGAATCCTTAGTGCCGATCACAGTGGCCAAAACACGGCAGGTACTCAGGCTACGCTTCCTGAATTGATCTGGATGAAGATACTTTAAAATCACCAGAGTGCTGGACAGTGTGAAGTTCATGGAAAAACTCCATTTTTCATTTCCGTATGTGAGTAACTACTGATCTCGTATTTCAAGGGTGGATTACGTAAACACTGTGGACTGTGGTAAACGGCATGAAGTGAGCGCCGCACTGGCCCTCAATGCCAGAGTCTTTGACTATCAGGTCCTAAATAATACGCACTGTGCAAGGTACCCGACATGATGATCAAAGTACACCTCACCAGTGACAGATTTCAGTTCGTATGATCAAAAAACACAAAATTTTAGACTGCATTTAGAGCAACATTCTACCATATCCTACATCAGATACCATGCTGTGGAGACAGACCGCACGAGAGGATGTCTACAACACACAGGATTGGAACCAAGAGTGAAAGGGAAATATGAAACAGAAAATTCTTACATACATGTATACACCTAATGGTACTGTCCGTTTATTGAGATTTATTATTATATGATTTGCTGTGCCACATCTATGAGCTTACATAACACGCCGAATTATTTTTCTTCGCACAAATATCTACTTCTGTATAAAGTAGAAAAAGATGGTGGTAAAAAACTTCTTCAAGGTCCGACAATTGTGTCCCAAATACCGCTGTATGAACACCTAAAAAATATAAAGAGCGATTTAGAAATATGCGTAACTATAACAGTACAGACAAACACAGCTTCAAGTCCCACAGGGACTTAGTGAACGTAACTTCCAACTTTACTTAAACTTACCTACCCCTGTTAGATAATATGGTAGGAACATAAAGAAGTCCACTGTGGTAAATGGGAAAAAGGAAGCTTTAGAAAGGTAAAATCTCCATTTGCGAATTTTATATATAAGCCTTCTATTTTAGCAACACATTTAGACTTCAATTTACCCAAGAAAGTCTCCTGATGGATACAAAGACAGAAAAATCTCTATCCCAATTACTCCCACCACCTACCACTCTTGCTTTCTTTCTGACCAAGAGCCTAAGGCTTTCCTATAGTTTAAATTCTTTCAAGCAGAACATCTTCTTTAATTGGCAGGGTTTAATCTACCATTTCCTATTTGCGCGGTTCCTTCCCCCTCCTTCCCTCCTTCTGCCTGCTTTTTGATTATTTAGATTAATTATGTGTTTATCCCATTTAAATTCCAAATTTAAATTTGGCTTATTAGCCAAAACTCTTTGTCATATTATTTTAGTGTTTGCTTTAGGACTTTTTTCTTAATAAGATTTTGGCTTTCTTTGAGCAGTTTTAGGTTCACAGCACAAGTGAGGGAAAAGTCTATAGATTTCCCATATGCCCCCTGACCTCACAGACGCAGAGCCTCCCCCATTACCGACATCCCGGACCAGAGAGCTACATCTGTTACGTACACTGACACAACATCATCACCCAAAGTCCACTATTTACATTGCGGTTCACCCCTGCTGCTGTACACTGTATGGGTTTGGACAAATATATAATGACATGTATCCATCATTACGGTATTATACAGAGTATTTTCGCTGCCCCAAATATTGTCCATGCTCTATTCATCCCTCCCATCCCCAACCCCTGACAACCACTGATCTTTTTATTATTGTCATATTTTGCCTTTTCCAGAATGTGATAGCGTTGGAATCATACAGTATGTAGCCTTTTCTTTAGACTGGTGTCATTCACTTAGTAATATGCATGGAAAGTTCCTCTCCACTTTTTCATGGCTTGATAACTCATTTCTTTTTAAGCACCGAATAATAGTCCATTGTTTGGATGTACGCAGTTTAGTTATCCATTTGCTGAAGGCCATTTTACTTGTTTACAAGTTTTGGTAATTACGAATAAAGCTGCTATAAACATCCATGTGCAGATTTTTGTGTTTTTTCTTTCTTCTTTTTAAGTAGGCTCCACGCCCAACGTGGGGCTTGAACTCATGACCTTGAGAGTCAGAGTCACATGCTCTACCGGCTGAGCCAGCCAGGGGCCCCAGATTTTCGTGTTTTCACCTCCTTTGGGTAAATACCAAGGGAGTGGGACTGCTGGACCATATTTACAGATATGTTTACTTTGTAAGAGGCTGCCATACTGTCTTCCAAAGTGGCCGTACCATTTTGCATTCCCACCAGCGATGACTAACAGTTCCGACTGCTCCACATTCTTGCTAGCATTTGGTGTTGTCAGCGTCTTGTATTTTGGCCGTACTAATTAGTATGTTGTAGTGGTATCTCATTGTTTTAATTTGCATTTCCCTGACGACATATGTATGCTGTGCAGTATCTTTTCATATACTTACTGTCTTCTTTGGTGAAGTGTTTGGTATAGTCTTTGGCCCATTTTTAAATTGGGTTGTTTTCGTATTATTAAGTTTGAAGGGTTCTTTGTCTATCTGGTAATAATCCTTAACTACATGCCTTTTAGAAATATTTTCTCCCAGGCTGTGGCATCTCTTGTTGTCTTTCCTCGAGAAGTTTTAGAATGGAGTCCAGCTTATCAACTATGTCTTTCATGGACCTTTGCTGTTGTATCTAAAAAGTCTAGGATTTTTTCCTATGTTATCTTGCAGGAGTTTTATAGTTTTATGTTTTACATTTGGGTCTATGATCCATTTCGAGTTAATTTTTGTGAAGGGTGTAAGGTTGGTCTAGATTCATATTTTTGCATGTGGATGTCCAGTTGTTCCAGCACCTTTCGTGGAAAAGACTGTCTTTGCTCCTTCACCAAAGATTAGCTGACTATACTTATGTAGGTGTATTTCTGGGCTCTCTCCCCCGTCCCCCTGATCTCTGTGTCTCTTCTTTGATCAACACCAAAGTGTCTTGACTACCATAGCTGGACAGTGTCTTGAACTCCAGCAGCCACAGTCCTCCAACTTTGTTCTTCTCCTCCAATCCTGCGTTGGCCATTCGGGGCATTCTGCCACCCCATATAAACTCGAGAATCAGTTTGGTCTTCCTCATACAGATCTCGTACGTATTTTGGCAGAATTATACCAAAGTATTTTCTTTTCTTGAATGCTAAAGAGTATTGTTTTTATTTCAAACTGCACTTGTTCATCAGTGACATATGGAAAAGTGACTGACTCTGTCTACTAACCTTGTATCCTGCTACATAACCATGCTGTATGGGCGCCTGGGTGGCTCAGTCGGTTAAGCGACTGCCTTTGGCTCGGGTCATGATCCCAGAGTCCCGGGATCGAGTCCCGCATCGGGCTCCCTGCTCGGAGAGGAGGCTGCTTCTCCCTCTGACCCTCCCCCCTCTCATGTACTCTCTCTCTCTCAAATAAATCAATCTTTAAAACAAAAACAAAAAAACAAAAAACCATGCTGTATAAGTGCTTAGGTAGGAGTCTGTGGATTCTTTTAGATTTTCTACATTATAGATGAGCATGTCATCTGTGAACAAAGACAGTTAATTTTTTCCTTCCCATCTGTATACCTTTTGTTTCCTTTTCTTATCTTACTGCATTAGCTAGAACTTCCAGGATGATGTTGAAAAGGAGTGGTGGCGGGGGGGGGACATCCTCACCTTGTTCCTTTTAATAGTGGGAAAACTTCAAGTTTGATGATGTTAGTGGTAGTTTTCTGTAGATATTCTTTACCCAGCTGAGGAAATTCCTCTCTATTCCTAGTTTACTGAGAATTTTCATCATGAATGGGTGTTAGATTTTGTCAAATGATTTTTCTCTTGATAGGATCCTATGATTTTTCTTCTTTAGCCCATTGATGTGATGGATTACATGAACTGAGTCTGGAATGTTGAACCAGCCTTGCATACCTGGGATAAATCCCACTTGGAAGTGGTTTATAATTCTTTTTGTACATTGCTGGATTTGATTTGCTAATATTTATTGACGATTTTTGCATCTACATTCATGAGAGATATTGGGCTGTAGTTTTCTTGTAATGTTTTTGGTTTTGGAATTAGGGTAATGCTGGCCTCACAGAATGAGATAGGAAGTATTCCATCTGCTTCTCTCCTGTGAAAGAGACTGTAGAGAAATAGTATAATTTCTTCCTTAAATGTTGGGTAGAATTCAGCAGAGAACCCATCTGGGCTCGGTACTTTCTCTTTTGGAAGATTATTAATTATTGGTTCGATTTCTTTAATAGATGTAAGACCTATTCAAATTGTCTATTCTTTTCTTGAATTTTGGCAAATCATGTCTTTTAAGGAATTGGTCTGTTTCATCTGTTATCAAGTTTGTGGGCACAGAGTTTTTCATAGTGTTCCTTCGTTATCCTTTTAATGTCCATAGGATCTGCAGTGATGTCCCCTCTTTCATTTCAGATATTAGTAATTTATGTCCCCCCCTTTTTCTTAATTAGCCTGGTTATAGGCTTGTTGATTTTATTGATCTTTCCAAAGAATCAGCTTTGATTTTGTTGATTTTTCTCTATTGACTTTCTGGTTTTAATTTCATTAATTTCTGCTATAATTCTTATTATTTCTTCTGCCTACTTTGGATTTAGTTTGCTCTTCGTTTTCTAGTTTCCTATGGTGGACAACTTAGATGACTGATTTTAGATCTTTCTTCTTTTCTAAGTATGCATTCAATGCTATAAATTTCCCCCTAAGCACTGCTTACATGGCATCCCCCCACATTTTGATAAGTTGTGTTTTGAATTACATTTAGTTCAAATGAAACTCTGTTGTTTAACCTCCACATATTTTGGATTTTCCAGTTATCTGTTATTGACTTCTAGTTTAATTCCACTGTGGTCTGTATAATTTCTATTCTTTTAAATTTGTTAAACTGTTTTATAGCTTGGAATGTGTATTCCACTGTTGTTGAAATATCTAATTTTAATTATACCATCACCTCTGGGTTTCGTAATGTAGCTGCAAAAGCAATGACAAGCTGTATAGTTAAGCAGGTGTAGAACTCCCGAGCAGTGAACAAGTTTAAGGTAAGAGGGCCAGCACAGACGCTGTGGTGAGAGCACCTACCTGTACACTCCGGCGCTGCTCCTAACAGCCACATTCCTGAGCGCTTGGGGCCTGTGCGCGACGTGGTGACCGCAGCTGTCTCAAGGCAGCATCCCCATACTGAATACCAGAGCCCATTCTTTCTGGGTCCAGCTCACCTGAGGACCAAGCAAGTCTCCTTTAAAAAAAGCTTTTATGTTTCTGTGATCCCAAAAATATATTAAGTGAAAAAAGCAAAGTGCAGAGCACTGTGTATAAACAGCTGGTTTGAATAATAAGGAAAAAATATATACATGTTTTCTTGTATGGGCATAAAAATATCTTTGGAAGGAGACGAACAGAAGTGAGAATAGGTGCGCCTGGGTGGCTCAGTCGGTTAAGCATCTGCCTTCGGCTCAGGTCCTGATCCCAGGGTCCTGGGATCGAGCCCCGCATTGGGCTCCTTGCTCAGTGGGGAGCCTGCTTCTCTCTCTGCCCCTATCTCCTGCTCTGCTCTCTCTCTCTCTCTCTCAAGTAAATAAATAAATAAAATATTTTAAAAAATGTGAGAATAATAGCTGACTTCAAGAAGGAGTTTTAGATGGCTTGGGGACAGGAGAGGGTTTGTAATGGAGGGAGACTTTCACTGTATCCGCTTTTTATTTTTTGAATTTGGAATTATATGAATATATTGTGCATACAAAGATAAATTAATTTAAAATTAAGCTACAAAGAGACCATTTCCTACTTACCAGACGGGTAAGAATCCAAGTATGATAATATACCCTGTGGGCATGGCTTCAGTGAAATAAGCACTTTCATTCATTACAGTGGGATTATAAATTGCTACAACCATGCTAGAAGGAATCTGACAGCCTCTACCTAAATTCCAAATGCTTATGTTCTTTCACCTAGCAATTCTACTTCTGGGAACTTATCCTATACATACACCCCACACATGGGAAATGATATATAAAAGGTTACTTACTGCAATATTATTTGTGACAGCAAAATGCTGGCAATACTCCAAATGTCCCAAGTAGACTGGTTAAATTATAGCAATACAGACAACTGAATATTACACACACACACACACACACACACACACACACAACATGTATGTGTATTAGCATACATATATACATGGAAGTCTCTATATGTTCATTTGTAATGATCCATAGGTCTAGTAAGTACATAAAGCAAGGTACAGAATTTATAGTATGTTAACTTTTGTGTAAAAAAAGAGGAGGAGGGGGGCCTGGGTGTCTCATCGGGTTAAGTGACCCACTCTTTTTTTTTTTTTTAAAGATTTTATTCATTTATTCATGAGAGACAGAGAGAGAGAGAGAGAGAAGCAGAGGGAGAAGCAGGCTCCCAAGGAGCAGGGAGCCCGATATGGGACTTGATCCCAGGATCCTGGGATCATGACCTCAGCTGAAGGCAGACGCTTAACCATCTGAGCCACCCAGGCGCCCATAAGTGACCCACTCTTGATTTCAGCTCAGGTCATGTTTTCAGGGTGGTGAGATGGAGCCTCGCAACAGGCTCCACCCTCAGCAGGGAGTCTGCCTCCCTCCTCCTCCCTGGGCCCCTTCAGAGGCTCACACGTGTGCATACTCTCTCTCTAATAAATAAATACATCTTTAAAAAAAAAGAGGAGGAAACAGCGGTTTTTGAATCATATGAATGTACAGCCTATTCCGAAAATTTGAAGTACTGCTGAAAAATTTTAACTTATATCTTTGTATTTTTTCACCTAGATGTAATTATGATTTTGATGATCTCAGAAGAAATGTATCTTGAAAATGTTCTGAGTCGACTTGTATGGACTATAACCATGGACGCAGTATTAAGGTAGCAAGGTGATTAAATAAAACCTCGTGCTAAGCTTAATAATACTCAACACCAAGCCAATTTTAATAACAATGTTACAGTCTTTAAGAGTAACAGTTGTTTTTGTGACAAATTTAGTAAAAAATTTTTTTGTTTGTTTTCAGAGCGAGACAATCCAGAAGGATGAAGTGTCCCTCTCTTCCACCCGGGCCCTTGACCCTCTCTCTCTCTCTCTCTCTGCACCTCACCCAGCACCCTACTGTCTCTGTCATCTCTCCACCCTCCTCTCCTTTCCCTTCCCTTGTTTCCTCTCAGCATTCACACAGGCTAACATTTCTTCCATCGCCAAAACCTCTTTACGTTAACCCTTGGGACCCTACTATACCTTTTCTTTTCAAGAGAGGAGTCAACACTCACTCTACTTTCTCACCTCCTCTTCGTTCCTCAATTGCTGTCTTCTGTTTTCATAATTCTACCGGAGCTGTTCTTGATAAAGATGCCCAGTGACTTCCTATTACCCACCCCAGTGGATGTTTTTTAGCTTAGTTCTTAGCTTAGGAGACTATTCTCTATTGCATTTGATAGTGAACAAGTCTTTGACTCTCATCCTTTTGGCTGAAATGATGCCCACTTTCCCCTGGTTCCTTCCATACATCTCTGACCATTTCCCTCTCTTTCTCTTTTCTAGGTTCCTCTTCTCCATCTCTCAGTCTCCAAGGTTCTGCTTTTGATCACTGCTTTTTTCACTCTCAACTGCTCTCGGGTGATCACATTCCTTTCATAGTTTCAACTACTCCTATGTACTGATGGCTTCCAAACGTATACCGCCAGCCCAGACTTCTCCCCAGAGCTTATGAGATAATCCCATGGGCTTGTGCCAGTGGTACTGCAAAGGGAACACCTCCAGGACAGAATCATCTACATGCCCCGGAACCTGCTTATCCTCTGGTTTAATGACATCTCTTTCCCAAGTTACCCAAGTGCGACATCTAGTTACCCTTGGCTCCTCATGCCTTCCTGACCCCACCTCCTCACCGCTACTCCCCACCCCCAAATCAACTGCCCTGCCCCATTTAGCACATGAGTCATATGGTGCTACTACCAAAATATTTCTTGGATTCATCTATATCTCTTCGTCTCTACTTCCACATCCTCCTTAAAGCTTTAATCAGTCATCTTTTACTTGGATTACTCAAAAATGCCGTAATTGGCACCCTGGTCTCCCGTCCTTTCAATCTGTCCTCAACATGGCACCTACAGACATGATTTATCTCAAGTCCCAACCTGACCATATCGCTCACTGCTTACCACCCTTGAATAGCTTCCTGTCCTCTACAATCAATCACATAAGAGCGCTTTTGGAAATGCTGATGCCCAAACCATACTTAAGCCCAATTAATCAGCATCTCGAGAGGTGGGGCCTGGGATCTGAATTTTCCTGCATCCAAGGTGACTGTAGTGTACAGCCAGGGTTGAGACTCAGTAACCCGTAAGATAAAGTTCCAGATCCTTGATGAGAATCACTAGCCCGGCTGCCGCCTCTCTCCAACCTTCTCACCTGCCATCCCACCGTAGTCTCTCTGGTCTCGTGATTTTTACTTTCTGGTTACTTCCAAATCATGCTGTCCCCTCTGCTGGACCACCCTCCTCCCCAATCCCTTAGCCAGTTCACTCTTCCTCACACTGTGAAAGACTGAGCTCGGCTGTCACCTCCTCTTGGAACCCTCTCGGACACTACGTCCATGACCTAGCTAGGCAGGTTCCCCTTCTCTGTGTGATCCCAGGATCCTATGCACCCTTCAGTTATTGTATCCACCACACCGTAATGTAATTATTTTTTGCTGGCTCCCATGAAAGAGGTTCTTGAGGGCAGGGGTTATGATTAAATCATTTTTGTATCCCAGCACCTGACAAAGAACAGACATTCAGATATTTGAGTGAATCAATTAAAAAGTGATTGTCCACATAGAATTTTGGTAATCTTTAACTCAACTTTATTTTTTTTTAAAGATTTTATTTATTTAGTTACTTGACAGAGAGAGCACAAGAGGGGGGAGCAACAGGGAGAGGGAGAAGCAGGCTTCCCGCTGAGCAAGGAGCCTGAGGCGGGGCTCAATCCCAGGACCCTGGGATCGTGACCTGAGGTGAAGGCAGCTGCCTAACTGACTGAGCCACCCAGGAGCCCCAAAACTCAACCTTACTAAACACAATTACAGAGTATTTTGTCAGCTGCCTAAATTAGGATTATTTTAAATTCATTTTTACTGAAGCAACAAATACAACAATAATGAGACCGGTTACTACTGAGGCACACTCAGTTGGCTTCAGGAATAAATTCTCCATGATGCCCAAGCTGCAAGTATCAACATCACGCATGTATCTCTAACTCCCTTAATCTCATACAGGCGGTCCCCCATCATGCCACGGGACCACTGGCCCAGCAGGGCTAGCAAGGTGTTGGCAGAGACTGGACAAAGATCCAATCTTCCTCCTCTAAGCCGTGGACCACAAAAGGCCGTGGTTCTAAAAGCAAACTGTCGCTGAAACCCTGACTGCCCACCCTCTTTCACCAGTGGTGCAACGAAGCCACTCCGAAAAAGCGGGGCCTTTGCCTCAGCCACGGGGGCAAGGCCTTCAAAACCGTAAGTGGCAATTTTAGGTTGGCAGGGGTAGAGAGAATGCTCTTTGACCAAATCACTCCTGGAAAATTAAAAAGTGGTACTACTGAGCTAGAGAGTAAAATATGCTGAAGACAAGTTTATGAATGGAAAGCCTTTTACCTGATTCAATTTTGTTAAGTATTTTTCTCGCACACTGTACAAAGGCCTCTTCCACATTCTCCCCCGTTAGTGCACTTGTTTCCAAAAACATCAGCTCTAAAAGTGACAGCAAACAAAATGCGAAGCTACGTTTAGAAGGCGATCACAACTGAGGTACCGACAGCCTGCTGAGGATTTTCTCCGAAGAGCAGGCAAAATGGAATCTGTTACTTAAAAACCACATATTTCTGCGAATACAGAATCAATAAATGTCAATATATTTTGTTAAATGCTAGAAGAACTCTCAGCCTTCCTCAACAGTGTCGGGTATCTTGTGCTGGCGCTTGTCTGTCGAAGATGCACAGTGAGGAAGCAGGCTGCCTGAAGCTGCCCGGCTGTCGACATGAGATGAATATTCTCCCAACACTCTTCGTGTCACCACAGATACCACGGCGGGGGGGGGGGGGAAACTACACTGCAACTTGTCATCCTGCCGGTGACGAGGTCCTCCCTGGACTCCTACTTTTCTTACCCACCAGAGCAGATACTAACCCTTGCTTCTGTATTTACGAGCTCACGATAGCTTCTGTTCTTCTCACATGCTTATTTGCTTAGCATAAAACCAGTCAATTTGTAAGAATATAATTTGGTAGTCCTAGAGTCCAACTGAAAATCGAGACTAGGATATTTTAGTTCTTGACTGGTTCTAAAAACTACAGTTCTTTAAAATGTCTCAATTCTGATCATTCCCTTATCTGTAAACAACCATTAATTTTATGTCATTCTCTGGTTTTCTATATGGAAATTCAGAGAATTTTCAAAGGCATATAACCAAATGGCTTCAATTTAATGTAAGTAAAATAAAACCAATAAGCCCAGTATTTCTTCCACTGCTTTCCCCTTCTATTTAGAACTAATGTTTTACCAACTTAGCTCCAAATTACATTAGAAAAAAGGACAGGCCATCATGTGATTAGGGCCTTTAAAAATTATTACAAACTTAACTTTAGACCAAGGCCTGTGCTTAGACCAAAAAGTCATTAGAGAATATTAGTACATTTGCTTTTATCATCATCGTAACCTTTGCAGGCAGAATGCAATATAGTGAAAATATGCTAAGTCAGTCTAACTTTACCTAAATAAAACACTAGGAAATTTCACATTTCTTAAGTAACGTTTAATCTTAAAATTCCAATAGATGTAAATTCAAAGCAATGTTATTACCCCCCAAATCTGCCCATTTGAAAAGCCGTAGTAGGTAAAAGGTCACTTGCCATTTTCTTGCGCAAATCTGGAAGCTTCTAAGAAAGTAACTTCACGATCCGCATCTAGGTCCTTCTTGTTCCCACAGAGGATGATCACAATGTTCTGACTCGCTAGCATTCTGGCATCTGTTAACCAATTAGTAAGCGCATTGTAGGTTTCTCGGCTGCGTAATATAAGATTGCGAAAATAGTACATGTATTTTATAAAGCTAGCAACTCTTTCCAGGCATTCACACTACTCACACACTGCTTTCGCACACGTCAGGGTAACGTCGACAACCTTTAAGGTAACACAGGCAGCCTGAATGCCCCATTACGCACCATACCACAGGGTGTAATTGTTTTGTTTCCAGAAAAACGAAACCGCAAGTCAGATATTTTGCTGTTTGATTTTGCCCGATCAAGGTACAAAAGGAAGCAGACGTTCCTTTATTCATTTTACAAATATTTACTGAGCTCTTAACACTTAGCTCAATTATGTGTGGCATGCATGAGCAAGATCTAACATCTGCTGCATTTACAAGCTCTGTGCAATATGGTGGCACTTTGTCCCGGAGGAATTTATCACGTTCTTTATAAGGACTCTTGTGACACAGACTCTATCCCCCTTTTCCATGAGAAATCCGAACCCAGAGAGTTTAATTAAGTTGCCCCAAGTCACACAAGCAGCCAGCGGCAGAGGCAGGGCTTGACCCGGTCTGTCTAACCCCAGGACGCACTCTGAGATCTACTGTTTTCGGCTCGGATACATCTGGGGATACGTCTGCTCTGCCGGCACACCTGGACAGCCGAATGACTTCGCACATTAGCAAGCTGAGCCTTCCACCACCGGAGCAAGTGCGGGCGGGCTGGGCCAGGAGCTGCCCGTTTCCTCGCCAGTGTGCCTCATCCCGGACAAGCAGACTGGGTGAGCGTCTCAACAACAGAGTGACACCCTCTCCGCCGCACAAGTTCCTACCCAGACGGCCACGGGCCAATAGGGTGGAGATGGTATTTTTAAGGTGGTGCCAGCAAACACTGAGATCGGCACTGTCTGATGGGGCTTCTGCAAGGACAAGAATGTTCTATAACCCACACTGTCCCACACAGCAACCACCAGACACACGTGGCTGCTGAGCCCTTGAGATGTGGCAGGTGAGACCGAGGAGCTAAGTTTTTAATTTAATTTGTGATATGGGGGTGGTAGCTACACACAGGACAGTGCACTCAGATTTTTATCATGTGCCAAGAGCTTTACATTAACCAATTTAACAACCTGAAAAATCTCCTAACACAGTCAGCATTACTCCACGTAACAGACAAGGAAACTGAAGTCCAGACAGCTAGAGCACCTTGCCCGAGGACATCACACGGCTAGTAACCTGGAACTGGGGTCTGAACCCAGGCAATCTGGGCACAGAGCCTGTGCCCTCAACGTTCATCAGTGTCAATTACTTCTAATAATTTACCATACGTAAACTTTCACCTTGTGAACCCTGAGGAATATGTCAAAGCATCAAAGCATCATGCTAAAAAACACTATGAAACACTAGGGATGCTTTATGTATCTAAAACCTCACCCAGAGATTTCCTTACCGGTTAAGTAGTGGTAGGGGTTGGCTCAAACACCTCTACGACCCCAAATGAAAGGACTGAGGGGATTCCAGATTCCCAGCCACACTGCCTGCCCCGACACACAAAACACACACTACACGCAGGTGCGCCTTGGGAAGACCAGACTTTGGGGAGCAGAGCCCCCAGCTGCCTCCCCCGTGGGGGAGTTCACATTACCTGGTGATGTCATAGACGAGGAGCGCTCCCGCGGCACCTCTGTAATAACTTCTCGTCACAGACCTGAAAGAATTATACTGCTTTTACTTCCAGCCAATCGAGATCCTTCACTATTGAGCACCGTCACCCATTTTTCTTTGTAAACCTTGACATGGGGACAGACGTTGCTTATAACAGAAATGACTCAGACATCTGAATGTATGTATGAGGGGCTCTTCTGTCTGATTTATGTCACAGAAATGCCGGGAAGGGGGGGGACGTTAGGCTGAGACAAATACGTCATTTTCTGACAGGTAGACGAAGCTCTCTTACGGAACTTAAGATGAGCTTTGAACGTACAGGGAGAGGCGAAGCGCTTGGGAGCTGGATGGACACGAAGTGCTCAGCAACCCTACTCTGCTTCCTCTGGGGGGGTCCAGGCCTTCCCCGCGTCCCTGCAGAGCTGTTTCCTTCTCACTCCGTGTCCCGTCCGTGTCCCCTACTCTGCAGCGCTGAGCCCAGCGGCATTTCTCGGTTCTCCTCCCTCCACCTTGCCTCGCCCCTCCCCGGACGCCTCCCTCACCCCACCTCTGCAGCCACCACCTCCTCCTCTCCCGCCAGCCAGCTCCCCTCCTCCAGCTCTGGGTCATTCGTCTGAGCCTGCCCTGTCTGTACCGGACTTCCTCAGTGCTGGGGCTCAGGCCTCGGTTTTGTTTTCTATTCACACCTGGACTCCGATGTCCTCTTCAGCTCAGCCTCCCTCTGTAAGATCCAGCTGTTGCCCCAACATCTCCATATGACTGCCAACTGAACGTGTCGCACTTCACATTCATAGGACAGCACACTCTGCTTCCCAGCCTGCAGGTCCATCCTGGTTTGGGGTGAGGTTGGGCACCACCATCCCTCTGTTTATACAGCCAGAAAGCTCTGCGTTTCTGACCCACCAGTCAGGTTCTGTCGCACTAACTGAACATATCCTACATTGTGCATGTCCTGCCATCTTCATTGGTATCATCATAATCCAAATCACCAAGTCTCTGCCTGGACCCCTGCAGTCACCTATGGCTGGTGTCCCCACTGCCATGCATGTCCCCACTGCCACTTGTGTCCCTTCGGTCCATTTTCCTGAGCAACCAAACTCATCAAGACCTACAAGGCTCCCTGTGCTCAGGGGCTGGAGATTGAGTTCAATCTCCAAGGGGCAATGATTTAATCAGTCCTATTTACCTACTGAAACCTCAAAAAGAAACCCTAAATGATGGAGTTTAGAGACCTTCTGAGTTCACGAACACTTGGAGGTGCTGGGAGGGTAGTGCTTCCAAAGAGGGCATGGGAGCTCAGCACTCAATTCCTATATCCAATGCCCGATGCATCTCTTCCATTTGGCTGTTCCTGGGTTATATTCTTTATAATAAACTGGCAACAATAAATACTGTGCTTTTTCTAAGTCCTGTGAGTCACTCTAACAGATTATTGAACCTGGGGGATGGGTCATGGGAACCTGTGACTGGTGTATGAAGTGGGAGCAGGTCTGTGGGATGGGACCCCTAGTCTCTGGGGCCTGATGCTAACTCCAGAGAATCAGAACTGAGTTGAACTGTTGGCCTCAGAGTTGGTGTTGGAGAACTGGAGAGCTGGTATGGAAAATCCTGGCGCCCCCCCACCCCACCAATTTGGTGTCAGGAAATAGGCACCACAGAACACTGCCTCCCTTTAGGGCAAAAAGAGAACTGGGGACCTTATCAAAAATAAACAAAAGGACTCATTATGACTTTGATACTTTGAAAAGGGCAGCTATTTTTAAATGTATTTTTAGCTCCTGAACTCCAAAGGCAGATAGGTAGCCTGAAGCTTCCCCTTTCTACCTTTAGATTGCTCTACAGAGGGGCATATGCTTTAAGAAATGGCAGACAGGCGCCGCGTGAGCAGGATCCAATCATTAGTTCTTCCCGGGGTCACCTCTCCAAGGGGGGGGGGGAGGGCTCTTTTCCACATATGTGAAGAGACAACTCTTTTTCTGTTTTAGTTTCTAGAAACTAGCAGGTTTCTAGAGAAAGAGGTATGTAAGAGTTCTCCTCAAGAGAAACTAAATTACATCTACTACTAAGTCATTTATTTCACTGTACCTTGACATATGGTGTCTAACAAGTTATTCAACTATATAAGCTACATGCTTAAGAAAAGTACTTTTTTGAGGTATTTAATTTTCTCAAAAGTGATATAAACCAGAGTAATACAGGCATCTAGTTTGAAAAGCAAATATTGCTAACAGGCCCAGCGTGAAAGTCTGCAGTCTCCTGCCTCACTCTTCCCTGGGAGCCCCACTCCCAAGGCCTTCGGATTTGATTTTTTTCCTAAATTAAGTCATTAACGGAATACACGTAAAACATCTATGTGCTAGATTCTACCCTGGGCTTTGGAGAAGCAACAACAACAGAATACAAATGTCCCTTCTTTCATGGATCTTAGTGTTGTTTTTCTGGGTTTTGCTTCCATATTTCTATAAAATGCTTATGAAACTATTTGACTTACGAGTTTCAGGGCTTCCTGCCTTCCTGCTTCGGTAAGACTCTATCTCCCTCATACGCTCCCAGCCCCTTCCCTGCAGCTCCTCCTCCTCCTGTTGGGCAGCACCTTCGCCTGACGGCCGCCCTGTGACACCTATGTCCTGGCTCGTCTCCCCACTGGGTCCCCTGTTGGCTGGACATCACCTTCCTCTTTCAGGGTTTACTTCCTCGTGCTGATGAAGTATATCCTCCTGAAGTTTCTAAGAAAGAATACGTGAAAAGATAACCTTTGTTTCTCCTATACTGGAATATCTAAAGGCCTTCTGACTTTATTCTCACACTTGACTGACAGTTTGGCGAAGTTTAGTATTTAGGTTGGAAAGGAATTTTTCATGCAAGGCTTCAGTATCTTGTAGCTTCCGAAAGTTGCTGTTGAACAGTATAATGCAATTCCTCTTGCTAGTCCTTCAAGGTGACTGTTTTTCTTCTTGGGATCTTTTTGTATTTTCACTTCATCCTTGCCCTCTGAAATGTCACCTGATATACACTAGCTGGAACTGTTTTCCCCATTCATTTGTGTTTGGTGTGAGGTGGGCCCAGTACATCTGGGATCTCGTTTCTTTGGTAGAAAATTACAGAGATTAGGCTGTTTTATTGGGGAAGCCAACATGTCAGTATATTTAGGCCTTTCCTTTGGAGCTATTCATTTTTGTCTCTCCTGCCTGAGAGTACATATACACCTGACTGCCAGCAACCGGGAAGAGGCGGGAGAGGGGGGCTAGGGGTTGCAGACTTGCACTAATTTCCCTCTTTTCAGTCCTTCCCTCATCCCTGCCTCTGCTGGGCCTTATGATGCATGCTGACCCTGCTTCAACTCAAGAGACTGAACTCCTCATGTGGGTGCATGCACACGCACATGGAAACCCTAACCCTCCCTCCTGCAGAACCCCATGCTTCCTCATCCTGACCTTTTCCGGGATTTAGCAGGAAGAACGGGCCTCCAGCTCGCCGGCCTTCCCCCATTATAGGCACTGAACGTGCAGCTCCCTCGGCTTTCAGTCAGTCACCATCCATTCCTTATCGCTACCATTTTTTTTTTTTTTTTTGAAATCTCTTCATCATAACTACGTACTCCCCTTTTCTGGGCCTTTGTGAGTTCATGCCATTTCAGTTGTTTCAGAGTCATTTCAGTGAGGGTTTGGGGGAAGAAAACATAAGTCTGGATTGAATCCACAATGTTTAACCAGTGGTTCCAGAAGAATGATTGTGATTAAAAATTTTGAAGCAAACAATTATTGAACATTTCAAATACAATATACACCTGACTCTAATGCTATAAGTGAGAGTTTTATTTAACTAAATTTTAAGACTGTGCATATCTGTGCTATTTTGATTTTTTGTATCCTTTCAAACACCACTACTACAATATTAATCTACTTTCTTGCTTCAGTAGTTACAGAATATTAAACATGTAACCTCATCTGCAGTGGTCTGGGGTCATCATCCCAAACACTAATTATGACTGAAGTGTAATAAAAATGTACAGGAGAGAATATTTGGTGGAATGTATATCAACCATCAGAACATGCTCTAGTTAGTATAAAACAAACAAAAATGCCAAAAGAGGTTTTTAAAAATTCTCCTTTAAAAGTGAAAGACAGATAAAAACTGCTGTGCTATTACTTTGCCTTAATTTTAATCTAAAAGTATTACTGCAGGATATGCAATGCCATGTCCTCCCAATGTACTCACTGGTCCCAAAGACTAAATTAGCCTCTACATTAGAGTGCGCTCACTCGAGAGATTCGAATGCATTCTTTAGTAAATCAATGCTGCATGGAGAAAACTTGACTTTTAGCTTGTCTTAAAGCTTCCAGAGGTGAAGTTTCTGAAATCTGTGCGGGGAGGAGGAGACTATATATATGAAGAGACTATAATTGGTTATTTCAAATCCAATTTTTAAATATTTTTATTAAATCAGAGAGAAAGCTACCTGAATCGTTCTTGGCCTGCTGTATCCCATATCTGTAACTTTACATATTTACCACCAACATTTATTATCTTTGAACCAAATTCCACTCCTATTGTATGATTTGAGTCATCTTTGACTGAAAAAGAAAAAGAACAAGATATTTATTTTAGAACATTAAAGAAACAGACTTACAGATTTAAACAAGCAAAATCAAGGGTTAAAGTCAATGGAAATGTAATTTACTGTAGCCTTTCATTTCTCCAATAGTCAGCTGATAAGAAGCACTCACTGTTTTAAACAAAATACACTTAAACACTTTAAACAAAAGTGTTTTACTTTTGTTAAAGTACACTTTAAACAAAACAAAATACACTTTAAACAAAATACATTTAAACAAAATATTCCTATTCTGAAAGAGATGATAAGGCTCTTTCACAAAACCCCTAAAGCAAACCATTCATTTTAAAGCCTAGGCTTGAAGTGGCTATGCCACATGAGAATCATATCTACCTGCCCACTGGGAGGGCACTCACACACAGGGACTGCATAAAATACCTGGGTGCCGGCCTAAAGGGCTTAGAGCCCAGTGGCAGACCTGCAACTCAGTCAGGAACGAGGTGGTGACCGTTTCCACTATTTGAATGGATAAATAGTCCAAAGAAATAAAAGGGAAGGAAAAGTACTTCCTGTAGCCCCCAAAAGAAACTTGATGGATACCAAAGATTAAGGGAAAAAGAGGAAAAGATAAACAAAACAACACCAAACAACAAAAATTCTGAGCATATGATATCTGTTGAGTTTGCATGAATTTGAGGATTGTGTGGCAGTAATTTGGAATGAATTTGTCGGAGAAGTCAATACTATCTATTTTGGGAGGCAGGCAAAATAGGTAGCTTGCTAAACCCACCTAGAATGAACTGTCTGTGAAAAAAACACTTCTGTGGTGATGAAGAGCTGAGCTATCACCTAGTATTATGGCTACACAGCCCATGACTGACTTACACTTTATGACTGTAGGGCAGAATCTAAGTGTACTAGAAGAAATCACGAATGCCACTTGATGGTGTGTTGAGTGTTCCCTGGGGCCAGGGGTGAAGGGATGACAGGTCAATACTGACCACACCCACCTGTCTGAGATGATGTGGAACTAGTGTGGACATTCTCGAATTCAAGCTACCAAGAAACCTCAGAGTAAAAGCCTCAAAGGGTGATGGCTAAAGTCCAGGGGCATCCTGATTACAGCATGGCCACAAGACGAATAAAGTGAAGCCTTTCCCATCGTGCTGTAGACCGTACAGACTAACCCAACACACATACCCATCTCCTTGGTGAGGAGTTAGGGGAGGACTGTCAAGGGAGAGCTTGCCACAGGGGGAGGATGCAACGAGAACCCAGGCGGGTTCTGGACCCAATATCCTTGGGGCATTTTTTTCTGAGATGCTACAATGCAGGCTTGGCAACTTGTGGAGAGACCTGGACTCCCCCAGTGAGTGAATACTTGTTACATTCAGTGAGGACTGGCTCCGTGTCACTAGACAGAGGTCCCAAAAAGCTCTTGGATAATGAACACGGAAGTAGCAGAATATATTTCTACAGTTTTATTCTTCAAAGCTCCTTGCCAAGGACTCCCTCTGCTGTTTCCCCATTTTACCCACCACCACTCAGGCGCACATGCTTACGATGCACTGCAGTTCAGTGAAGGTAAATCTGTTTTTGTGCTTTCACCCAACTGCCATGAAAGAGGTCATCCTCCACAATTCTTTCCATGATTGTAAAAGCAGTTTATTTTAAGGGTCTTTCAAACTTACAAGTCTTTTACAATACTTTGGAATTAAACATTCAGTTTCCCTTACCAAAACAGTGAAAGCCAATGGCAACAAGATAGGTCTGTGGTCAAAAGACCTGGACTTGAGTCTAACCAACTCTAGGGGACCATACCGAGGGCACACACCCCCTAACTGCTCTAAAGCTGCTTCTTGAACCTGCAAAACAGAACTGATGACAATAACCACCTTCACTACAGTATAAGCCACAGAGGACCCAAGAGGACTGTTTTATCTACAATGTACTATTCGGGCTTCTTGGGCGGCTCCCTGTCAGGAAAGCAAAGTCCTCTGCGGCCTTCTGCCTCACCATGTTGTATTTCAACATCTGCAATGTACTGGAGTATCTGGAAAATGCACAGTATGATAATATATTGAACAATGAACCAACATAAAACTGAAATAACTTAATAAAAACTCAGTCGTACTGCTAGAAGTTTAATATAACAAACTTTTAATGTTACTTTAACATACTTTTAAACTATAAGTTTTTTCCTGAAATAATATTCAGAAGTTTTGCTATAAACAAATCTGAGTAAGAGAGCACTCAGGGGAAGACATGCATCAAACACTGACCATCTGATGTCACTTACATTTTTTTTCTATAAACTGATGAAGCAAGCAAGACTTGCCAGTTCCTGCATTTCCAATAACCAAGAACTTAAACAAAAAATCTGAAAAACAAAAAGAGACCATGAAAAATAACTTTAAAACATGTGCTACAAATTTATTTAGGCTATGATCAAAAAAAGTTAATAAAATCTTACTTGTTAATGTAACAGAAAAAAGAGGCAACTATTCTGTGAAAACAACAAAAAACACGTCAACTTACATTTTCACCTTTTTGATATTTGGCTTACATGCCAGTTCAGTGGTTTTCCAAACACTGCTCATGGGAAAACTTCCTTTGATGTTGGAAGTTTGAAGACTATTCTTGTAAAATTCATCCCTTTGCTAGTCACTATTCAAAGAAATATGAACAAGCAGGGACAAAAATAGTCTAGAAGTTTCAAGTTTTCTGTACAAAAGAAAAACCCTGGGAAACTTCTAGGCTTTGAGAAGTCCACGCCCTTCTTCTTTTTTTAAAATAGGTATGTTTCCCCCACTCTTGCAGATTTTTGTGGTCTTGCTTCTATTCCCTTATCTGCACCTTGAGGGAAGGACAGCTTAAGCCAAGTTTGGGTCAGTATTCAAAGTAGGAAATTTGTCTCACTCAGTGTAAAAAGAATTCTTCATTTCTTCTTTACACAGAGTAATATATTTAATTTGGAATATGATTTTCCATAAAATGGAAAGGAAGACTCTCCAGAATTTGTTAATCGAATTAGCATAATGTAGCATCAGTAGCCCCATGCTGCCTTACTGATTAAGAATGTTAGTTCTGCTGAGACCAGGAGCTGCACAGGACCCACTCCCTCCTCCACCCCTCACACTGGAATTTCTGTTTTGTTCAATATCTTCTTCTACTTAAAATATAAAGCCCAATACACTGTCAAGTTGACCCTTGAACGACTATGTGGTTTCACTTATATGTGGATTTTTTACAGTACAGTACTATAAATGTATTTTCTCTTCCTTGTGATTTTCTTTCTTTTTTAAAAAGATTTATTTACTTAAGACAGAGAGAGCGCACACTCACGAGAAGGGGCAGAGGGAAAGGTAGAGACAGAATCTCAAGCAGATTCCATGCTGAGGGTGGAGCCTGATGCAGGGCTCGACCTCACAACCCTGAGATCATGACCTGAGTCAAAACCAAGAGTTGGACGCTTAACTGACTGAGCCACCCATGTGCTCCCCCCGACCTTGTGATTTTCTTTAAAGATTTTATTTATTTGACAGAGAGCGAGCATGAGCAGGGAGGAACAGAAGCAGAGGGAGAAAGAATCTGAAGCAGACTCTGTACTGAGTGTAGAGCCCTACTCAGGGCTTGATCCCACAACCACAAGATCATGACTTGAGCTGAAACCAAGAGTTGGATGCTTAACCGACTGAGCCACCCAGGTGTCCCCCTCCTTGTGATTTTCTTAATAGCATTTTCTTTTCTCTAGCTTGTTTTATTTTAAGAATATGGTATATAATACATATAATATAGAAAACACATGTTAACTGATTGTTTATGTTATCAGTAAGGCTCCAGTCAACAGTAGGATTATTAAGAGTTAAGTTTTCGGGGAGTCAGAATTTATATGTGGGTTTTCAACTGTGCTGAGGGTTGGTGCCCTTAACCCCTTTGCTGTTCAAGAGTCAACCATATAAGTTGCAAACAGAAAAAGGTGAGAGCCAAATAAAGATGCTGCCAATACGTAGGAAACAGTAAATACTGACAAAGAAAAGAATTTGTATTTGCAAATTGAAATGTTTCTTATGTACACAGAAAAATGAGTATCACAAATCTATGCGATCCTGGAACAAAAACTCATATATCTAGACACAGACTTTGGCTTGATTCTCATTCCACTGTTATTTTCTGCTTTGGAAGTTTTGCTTAAATGTACTTTATTATGGTAATTGTTACCTAGATTGTACCATAGCCCCAACACGCAAAAGAGTAACATATCCACTGAACTGCACCTTGCTGGACAAAAGACAAGTAAGACATGTCATTTCCACATGTAAAAATTCCTCCAAACTTTTTTTAAAAAAGATTTATTTATTTATTTTTATTTGAGAGACAGAGCTGGGGGGGGGGCGAGGGAGGCAGAGAGGGAGAGAATCTCAAGCAGACTCCTTGCTGAGTGCAGAGCCTGATGAGGGGCTTGATCTCATGACCCTGAGATCATGACCTGAGCTGAAACCAAGAGTCAGATGCTTAGCCAACTGAGCCACCCAGACAACCCTCCAACAAACTCTTCATACTCTACCTCTTGTAGCTCAAACAGGTAAGTATTCATACTATAGTAGAAAACCTTTTTGTTTGAAAATCCTTTTGGGTGAAACATCTAGAAATGCTGGATAAAATATACCACATTTAAAAAAAAATGCATAGCTGAGCTTTTAGGAAAGAAAGGAAAATTCTAGATGCTTGGGAAAGAGAAGAAACAGAAAAAAGCAGTAGGGGCCCAGATGTGTCAGTATGGAGTTTTAAAACGTGTGTGGGACAGAGCATAAGAGTTTGTGTCCATGTGAAGGAGGGAGTAGAGAGCTAAATCTGAGTTCTTTTCAAGGCTCGGCCTGAAGTGAAAGGGTAGGCTGGAGGAAAAAAATCTATTCACTAGCTCAGGGAAATGAGGAGCCTTCTTTCACTCTGCCTGGCCTCTTAACAAATGGGAAAAACTTTTCCCTTTGAAGTTTAATCATGGACTCGTATAATAAGTGGGTTTGAAATTCAAATTTAAATAACTATGTGGACAATGAACCTCTAAATCAAGAAATGAGCAACAATAAAAATGAAAGTGACATGACTAGGATGCCTGGAAGAATTACTTTGGCAGGACACACAGGATTCTCACATTTACGGCTCCTTGAAGATGAGCTCACAATCTACAATTACAAAACACTCAAGGAAACAATCCATCACAAGTGAGTCAGCCATCTGCAGACAGATGACGCTTCCAAGAATTTGATTTAAAAAAAAAAAGAACTTAATAAAGTACAGTTGATCCTTGAACAACACAGGGGTTAGGGGCACTGACACTACTCCCCTCCCCCATCCCATGTTGTGCAGTTGAAAAACCCACATATAACTTTCGACTCCCCAAACACTTCACTAATAGTCTACTGGTGACTGGAAGCCTTACTGACAACATAAATAGTAGATTTACATATATTTTCCATGTTACATGTATTATACACTATATTCTCACAATAAAGCGAGCTAGAAAAAGAATGTTACTAAGAAAATCATAAGGAAGAGAAAATACATTTACATTACCATACTGTAAAAAAATTCACGTGGAAGTGGACCTGCGCAGTTCAAGCCTGTTATTCATGGGTCAACTATCTACTCAAAATGACTAATATCATAAAAAAAGGAATTTAATTTATAAGAATACAATAATATGAAAGAATTGGTAGATTTCTAGAATGTGTCCAGAAATAAAAATTGCAGTCTTTAAAATTAATGAATGGATGGGTTAAAAAGAGGAAATCAATAAAAATGAGGAGAAAATTTATGAACTGGACTAGAGACTGAAGAAAATTACCAGAAGGCAGAACAAAGAGTTGAGAGAAGAGGAAACCATGTGGATTTAAGAAACATGGAGGGTTGAAGGAAAAGATCCAATACAAGTCTAACAGGTGTTTGGGAATGGAAAAATAGAGAATGCAGTACAGAGCCAATATTAAAAGAAATCATGACTAAGAATTCAACAGAATTAAAACTAGGACTGTCAGATCAAAAATAACTGTGAACCATGAGAAGGATAAATAAGAGTAAGTCCACACTTAAACACATCATCATCACAGTGAAACGGAAGAACAAAGACTATAAAGGCAGTCAGGAAGAATGGAAAAATTCCCTATAAAGAAACTAGGTTCTTCACCCCAAGGTCAGAAGGCAGTGAGATAGTATCTTCATGGTGTTGAAGGAAGGAGCATAAAAACAAAAACTGTCTAGTGTAGAATGCAATGTACAAGAAATTATACTCAATGCCAAGGTACACCTCTGCTTCCAGAAAGTTGGAATAGAAGTACTTTTTCCTATTCTTCCTGCTCAGTACAACCTAAGACACTAGATATTATATATAAAGGAAACATATGGAGACTTTAAAAAGCATAGCAAAGAAGGCAGACTGGCCAGGGACCTCGGGGCCTGAGAAAAGAAGACACAGGGGTGAGTTCTTTGGGTTTTCCTTTCACCTCACATACCCCAGACTTGGAGCTGAACAAGCTGGCAACTGGAAATGGCAATGGGTGCAGATTTTAAAAAGCACCCACAGAAAGCTGCTCTGTCTAGCCCCAGGGCCAGGTAAGGGCAGCCCAGCAAGTGAGAAAACTTTTACACATCAACGGCTCTACTGCAGCCCAAACAGCACAGGAGAATCTGTGACCTCACCTCTACCCGTGCCAACAAAGGCTGAGTAACAGGGTGGGGTGGGGGGGCTGGATATCCCCCAGTGAGGCCTGAGAACCTCATTACAGCAGGGTGGTTTCTGAGAAGCCCAAGCACGGAGCTGAGACTCTCATCCCAGGTAGCTGGTTACAAGCTGCCCCAGCCCTCACCACAGTGTCATGGAGACCATGGTGGTGGTGATGTGGGAGCCGCAGAACGCTGGTGCTCTCAGCCCCACCCAGCAGTAACAAGGAGCACTCCCTCCACCTAGATGTCAATGGAAGCCGAGCATGGAATATACCCTTCTATCTCCACCTGGCAGTAACAAGACTGTGCCCAAGAGTGGTAACCAGTTAAATAAAAGATTTTAATAAAGATCTCAAGTCTCATAGCATAATATAAAAATGTTCAGGTTTCAAATGAAAATCACTCATCATACTGAGAACCAGGAAGGTCTCAAACTGAAAGAAAAAAGATAATCAATAGATTCCAATGCCAAGATGACAGAAATGTCAAAAATGCATGACAAAAATTTTAAAGCAACTTAAAAAAAAATCTTCTAAAAGATTTTTAAATATAAAAATGTTTCAACAAGTAATATAAACATGCTTGAAACAAATGAAAAAAAATCCTTAGCGAAGAGAAAGTCTTATCAAAGAAATAAAAGATATAAAGAACCAAATG